GTTTTGGGCCTAGACCCTTCTTCCTGCTCCTCTGATGCTGCTTGGCCTGCTGTGTTCATCCAGCTCTACACCTTGTTATCTCAGAGTCTCCAGCATCTGCAGTTCCTACTATCTCTGAACCCATTTTGAAAGATATTGTTGAATCTACTTCCATCACCCTTTTAAACATTGCACTTTATTTAGTGTTTGATTAAGCTTGCTTGATCACCGATCCTTGTATGGAGCTTGATTGCTTTAGTCTGTGGCTGAGTGAAGTAATTACCTCCTGATTCTGAGAGAAAGTTAAGAAGGTGGGCGAGACATTCAGCCCCGAGCTATGATGACATGTATATTGACAGTTCTGTAAAGTTCCCAAGATGTTTTCAGACATGTAAATAAACTGATTTTAGAACTATCTGAGAATATTACTCTGAGATAAACAAGACGTACAGTAACTCAATCTAAACATAACACTTTGGAGTGTAAATATTCACTTCATAACTTCATGTACTATTTACGAAGTTTGCTGCAGAAATTCGCCAAAGATCCTGAGACAGCACCTTCCAAACCCAACACCACTTCCATCTCGAAGGACAAGGGCAGCAGATACAGGAGAACACCACCCCCTGCAAATTCCCTTCCAAAGGGGTCTTTGGTCTTGTTTCCAACTATTTAAATCATGTTCCTTGGTCACAGATCCTTCAGCCAGTTTCTCTATTTATCAAAGCATGACATAATGGTGAACACTTTGGTCAAATCTATCCTGCTCTGAGGGGGACAACCTCAGTTAGTGCATCTCTTCACACAACTGCACCTTTCATCTCTGACTAATTGAGTCAAGGCCTGAGAAGTTGGTGGATGCAGGTACTCTTGCAACATTTAAGAAGCATCTGAACGAGCACTTAAAATGCCTCAGCATAGCAGACTACGGACCAGGCGGGTCTTTATATTCACTCAGGGGATGTGGGCATCACTGGCTGAGCCAGCATTTATTGCCCGTCCCCAGTTGCCCCTTGAGAAGGTGGTGGGGAGCTGCCTTCTTGAACTGCTGCAGTCCATGTGCTGTGGGTCGACCCACAATGCCCTTAGGGAGGGAATTCCAGGATTTTGACCCAGCGACACTGGAGGAACAGTGATATATTTCCAAGTCAGGATGGTGAGTAGCTTGGAAGGGAACTTACAGCGGGTGGTGTTCCCATGTATCTATTGTCCTTGTCCTTCTAGATGGAAGAGGTATTGGGTTTGGAAGGTGCTGTCTGAGGATCTTTGGTGAATTTCTGCAGTGAACTTTGTAAATAGTACACACTGCTGCTACTGAGCGTCGGTGTTGCAAAGAATGGATTTTGTGGATGTGGTGCTAATCAAGCGGGCTGCTTTGTCCTGGTTGGTGTCAAGCTTCTTGAGTGTTGTTGGAGCTGCCCCCATCCAGGCAAGTGGGGAATATTCCATCACACTCCTGACTTGTGCAATGGACAGACTTTGGAGAATCAATAGGTGAATTTACTCGCTCCTAGCCTCTGATTTGGGATTAAATGGGATAAATGTAGTTTTGTTTTGTTTTGCATAGGCATAGTGGGTCAAATAACCTGTTTCTATGTTGTTTGACTCTCTGACTCTAAATCTCTAATGGGCTCTAAGGCACCCTTCCATATGTGTGGTACCATGAATTAGACACATCCTCAATCTTCGGGATACAGGCATCGCTAGTAAATCTAAAATTTGTTGACAAACCCTAATTGCACCTGAGCTGAGTGGCTTGCTGGATGATTTCAGAGAGCCCTTAAGAGTCAACCACATTGCTGTGGGTTGGGAAGCACAAACAGGGTCAGGCTCGGTTAGCACAGCAAATTTCCTTCCCCCAAAGAACATAAGTAAACCAGATGGGGTTGTGCAAAAACTACTGATAGTTTGTTGGCTGTTGTCACTGAGATGATTGATATTTCAAATCAACCTGTTCAGACAGGTTATTGTACACATCTGAAACAGTTGGGACTTGAACCAGGTCCCTCTGGCGCAGAGGTAGGGACACTACCAGTAAGAAAAGAACCTTATCTGAGACTATGTTATAAATTGAATTTAAACACTGGGATTTATTAGTAAACAAATTAAATTAAACTAAATTAATTGGTAGATTAATTAATAAAGTTAGATCACATGAGATTCAGGGTGAGCTTGCCAATTGGATATAAAATTGGCTGAATGGCAGGAGACAGAGGGTGGTAGTGGAGGGTTGTTTTTCAGACTGGAGGCCTGTGACCAGCGGTGTGCCACAGGGATCGGTGCTGGGTCCACTTTTGTTTGTCGCCTATTTGAATAATTTAGTGAGAATATAAAAGGCATGGTTGGTAAGATTGTGGATGACACCAAAGTTGATGCTATAGTTAACAGTGAAGAAGGTTATCTAAGATTACAAAGAGATTTTGATCAATTGGGTCAATGGGCTGAGGAGTGGCAGGTGGAGTTTAATTTTGATAAATGCAAGGTATTGCATTTTGGGAAAACAAACAAGGGCAGGGCTTATACAGTTAATGGCAGGGCCTTGGGTAGTGTTGTAGAACAGACAGACCTAGGGTTTCAGGTACATAATTCTTTGTAGTTTGCATCACAAGTAGACAGGGTGGTTAAGAAAGCATTTTAGCATGCTGGCCTTCATTGCTCAGACCTTTGAGTATAGGAGTTGGGACGTTACATTGAGGTTGTACAGGATGTTGGTAAGGCCTCTTCTGGAGTATTGTGTCCAGTTCTAGTACCCCTGTTATAGGAAGGTTATTATTAAGCTGAGAGGGTTCAGAAAATATTTACCAGGATGTTGCCGAGAATGGAGGGTTTGAGTTATAGGGAAAGGCTGAAAAGTCTGGGACTTTTCTCACTGGAGTGTCGGAGGTAGAGGGGTGACCTTATAGAGGTTTATAAAATTGTGAGAGGTATAGGTAAGATGAATGGCAGGTGTCTTTTCCTGAGGGTGGAAGACTTCAAGACTAGGGGGCATATTTTTAAGGTGAGAGGAGAAAGATTTTAAAAAGACATGAGGGCCAATTTGTTTTTACACAGAGAGTGGATCGTGTGTGGAATGAACTTCCTGAGGAAGTGACGGATGTGGATACAGTTACAGCGTTTAAAAGACGTTTGGATAAGTACATGAACAGGAAAGGTTTGGAGGGATATGGGCCAGGAGCAGGCAGGTGGGACAAGTTTAGTTTATGGTCAGCATGGACTGGTTAGACCGAAGGGTCTGTTTCCATGCTGTATGACTCTATTTGAAGCCACATCTTCCAGAGCATTAGGAAGTGCTGATGCTGGAGTTTGAGATAACAAGGTGTGGAGCTGGATGAACACAGCAGGCCAGGCAGCATCAGAGGAGCAGGAAAGCTGATATTTCGGGTCTGGACCCTTCTTCAGAAAAAACCAGAGCATTCGTTTGGCTTTTGAGATTACTAACTCACCAACTTCTCCCACTTGAGCTATTCCTAAGAACTACTCCACAAAGTGTCAGTTTCATATTTTAGCTACTGTCGCCTATGCCTTGATTTAAAATCGTGTCATTCTGTCTGTAAACCATTTTGGTTCAAAACACATAGGTATAGATCAAAGAGGGTGATAAGGTTGGTGTTGTAAATAACCATGATCTTATTGAATAATGGAGCAGGCTGGAGGGGTCAAATGAGTCAGAGAATCCCTCCAGAGCAGATGCAGACCATTTGGCCCATCAAGTCCACACTACACCTTTAAAGAACATCCCACCCAGACCCACCTCCCTCCCCACAATGCTGCCTATCCCATGGTTAATCCATCGAGCCTGCACATCTTTGGGCTGTGGGAGGAAACTGTAGGAACCGGACGAAGCCCACACAGGCACAGGGAGAATGTGCAAACTCCACACAGAGGATAAAATTGAACCCAGACCCCAGGCACTGTGAGGTAGCAGTGCTAACCACTGGTCTAAGCTATTCCTATTTCTTATAGTCACATAAACCTTTACCTAATGCCAGAGTATTTTTGTTCAAGTAAAAGCAAGGATTGGAGAATGTAGGTGAGACCCTACATCGAGTGTAGCCTTATGCACTGATGATGCTTTGATTAAACTGTTAGCTCGTTTTCCAAGAAGTTCATTAATCTGCAGAGCTATTGATGAGGCCAAGTAAACATGCCCCATTGATCACTTTGCAGTCTAAATACATCCTGTCAGCACTCTAGTCCTCACACTGGTTACATGTCATGGACAGTAAATATAACTGAACCTAAGTGTAAATATACCTCAACTTACATGTAAATATACCAACTTAATGCAGAATTCTGCCAAGTATCCGGGCCAATATTTACCCCTCAAACAGCACCAATGGAGAGGATGGCATGGCCATTATTGCATTGCTGTTTGTGGAATTTTGCTGTTCATTATTTGCCTGCATTGCAGCACAGACTGACATTCATTGGCTGCGAAAGATTTCGGGGCCTCCCAAGGATGTGCTGAGACGCTATAGAAATGCAACACCATCCATTGTCCAGGAACAGTGGTCACCCAGAGAATGAATGGGTAGTACCTGTGGAGCTGTCCTCCAATGAGGGAGCCAGAATGGCCTGCATTAGTGGGGATGGGAGAAATGCTGACGGTTATTCATAGTCATAAGGCAGGTTTGGTACAAGTTCACAAAACAGCAGAATCATTCAGTTAGTTGCAACAAATATATAGAAAGCATCTAATCAATGGAAAAGCAACAATCCAATCCATTGCTGGCTCTTGCCTGAGTCTTAGTAATCAAATTTGATCACATACTGTGGTGGGATTTAAACCAACATCACCAAAGTGTTAGCCAAGACCTCGAGCTGGCTAAGTCCACAGACATTACCACTACATTACTGTCTTTCCTTTCTACCTGAGACTCAGCCCATTTTTCTTCGGCTAAATTTATCACTGTAACCCTTAACTACCTCCTTGCTCAAAGGTTCATCAAATATCTCCATAAACACATCTAAGGGGGACGGATGGTGGAGTAGTGGTTGTAGCACTGGGCTAACAAGTTAGATGCTAATGCGAGGTTCACATTCTGCTGCTGGTGGAATCTTAATCATGTAGTAAGGGCTTGATGGGCTGAATGGCCTACTCTTGTTCCTATGTCTTATGGTCTCAAGCATTTGCTTCAGCCACGGTAGCAGGTTTCTCCTGAATTCTCAATTGGATTTTTTGTTGATGTTCTCTTTAGTTTTGCTCTTCGACATAAGTGGAGACATTCTCTCTACAGCCATTGGAGGGCTAAGATTCAGGATGGGCTGTGGACAATTTCAACCCCAGAGAACCCCAACCCAAAGATAGCTCAACCCAAAAGTACACCAGCCCTGAAACACCCCAACTCCGAAGCACCCCAACACCAAAACATTCTCAACCCCGAAACACTCCCAACTCTGAAACATCCCAACCCTGAAACACACACAATTCCAAAACACCGCAACCCTGAAACACTCGAACCCCAAAACATTCTCAACCCCGAAACACCCCAAAGCCAAAACATCCCAACTCCGAAACACTCCCAACCCCAAAACATCCCAACCCCAAAACATCCCAACCCTGAAACATGCTCAATTCCAAAACACCCCAACCTTGAAACTCCCCAACACCAAAACATCCCAATCCTGAAATACTCCAACCCCAAAACATCTCAACCCCGAAACACTCCCAATCCCAAAACACCCCAACCCTGAAACAACACAATCCCGAAACACCCCAACCTGAAACACCCCAACCCTGAAACACCACAATCCCGAAACACCCCAATCCTGAAACACCCCAAACCCAAAACACCTGAGCCCCAAAACACCCCAATCTCAAAACACCCCAACCCTGAAACACACCCAAACCGGAAACACCCCAACC